GAAATATCATAATCAACATCATTAAGATACTTCCTATTAACTTGGACCACAGGTTTCTACACATAAAATGCCAACCATGAGTCTTTGAGTATGAGGTTTGCAAAATTCAAACATCCTTATTAAGGTCATCTTTATTTACTTATTAACACTAATGTAGATAAAAGCATATTATTTTACCTTGAGATTAATCTTGAAAATATAAACAAGATTCACGTGATCAATTTATTGAATAGTTACTGAACTTCAATGATGCCATTATTTTGGTCAAAGCAAAAAGTTATGAAAATTTTTCTGCAGGACATTTTCCCTGCAGGTAACAATTAAAAGTATATTTCATCGTCATTGGTGATCCTAATGACCTCTTATAGCAGGATACAAGTTTTGAATTGGTACAACCAATTAGATGACATGACTTATATGGATTTGTGTCTGATAACCAAGAAGGAAGGCAAAAGTCATCTCTCATTATTAAAAGATGTCTCTACTTCCTGGTCTATGCTGATTCTGCCAATGCTTCTTCTGATCTCCTAATCAATGGTTTCAAGATTTACTTTATAGTAAATATGACACATCAAGTATAGCCTAGGGATGCACAGATGTTGTCAGTGTCCTGCCCTTATTCATTCATCACTTACCATTTCCAAGGAGGACAGCCTCACTTCCAACTGTCAGCAGCTATGATTCTGCCTGAAGTCTTTCCCTGGCAGCGAGAAATGAACTCTCCATGCACATGGGCCAAACCATAAGTTACTGGAGAATTAACAATTTTCCACTCTCAGACTCACCCTCAACCAATGACTGACTGGAGTTGGTAAATACCCTGGCCCACTAGTCCCATGGTTCAAGTAACTGAGGTATGTTATAAATGGCCTCCCAGAATTCCCAGGTAGAATTAAGTTTGTAACTTACTTGATATACACTCTTTATTAGCTTCCCTCCATTTCTTGCCTCACTCTCCCAATTCCCCTGTGAACTCTGTAAAAAACATTCAAATCCTTATCTCTAGGTCTGCCTCCAAGAGAACCCAAACTAAGACAAGGAGGTATTAAGATGAATACAAAAGGGGTTCTACCTTTAAAGAAGTCACAACCTAAAGCAGGAGACCAATAATAAGCAAAACAAACTAACCAAAGAACAAAAACGATACCAAGAGGAAAAATATACAATATTACATTGTAAATAAAGGTATGCTGGCTCAGGTGAAGATAACAATCTAGATTGTTTTAAATTTTCTGTGTACGACTACAATGTTAGTAATGGTCCTTCCTATAACTCTAAATATTATCTTCATTGGGAAAAAACTGTAAGACTATCTAATAGTCACCTTACTCTAAAATGTCATCGTACCTTATTGCCATTACTGATATTGTTCTAATAGTTGCTGAATAATAAACCGTAGCCAAAGGGTAACAAAAAGGGCAGAAGTATAAACTTCATTTAATTCCATGACATCTGTGGAACAAAAGGAATAACAATATAGTGATTCAACCTGACAAGTGGATTCAAACCATATCTACCATAAAATGAAATTTATCCTGCATTAACCTTTTTGGCAGTCCATCAACCTCCCAAGACAACTTCAGACAGAGTAAAACCAAGTCAATATTTTGGTCATCATTCACCATTACTTTCTGAAAACATACTTTTCTTATCATTAGCATTGCAACATTAATGGAAAAATCAAGTATTATTGAAGAGCATTTTTTTCCTGGTAACCTCTTACGGATCAACTAGGTGGATACCTTAGACTGAGTGAATAGGGAAGGCCTGACTTGTGAGGATGAAGAAGGCAAGCATTGCAGGCAACAACTGGTACAAAGGCCCCTGGCATGTTCAAGCAACTATGTGCAGTTTAATTATTTTCTGGTTAGGTGATTTTTTACTTATTCTTCAGATTTTATGCTGCTTTAAGAAGCCCTTGATGGCATTTAAGGGGTGACAGGATCTAAATTTTAACAAGATTCCTCTGTTTTTCCCAAAAGACTATAGGGCAGAGAAAATAGCAGCAGAGACCAGTTAGGTGAACATTGCAGAAAATCCTGGTCAACGATGGTGGTGCTTTAGACTAAGACACTAGTAAGTGGAAGTAGACAGATTCTGGATATGCTAAGAAACCAAATACCCAACCTAAGATGTCTTAAATAACGAAATTCAAAAGCTTATTTTCAGGAAGCCTAGTGCTAGAGTAGGTTCAATGACATCAAAGAACCATGTTCTTCCAGATTTTCTAATCATTTTGACCCTCAAACTGGAATGGTTGTTAGACGATTGCCACTAGCAATTGAGACTAGGTGGTCCCTTATTCATATCCAGAGAGAGAGCCTCACTTTATGTGCTATTTCAAGAGCCAGAATTCCCCTCTGCCATTTGACTCTAACCCATTGTTTCATTGGCCCACACTTATTAAGCCTGTCCATCCCTCATTCATTCATTTGTATAGGAGATGAACTGGGAATGGGGTTGGCTTGCCTTGAGTCACATGGCCTATGTGAATGAAGGATGGATACCTGAGGGGGAAATATGAGTATTTGTTAGAAAAGAGGAAGGAGGAAATAGACGTTGAGTAGGTAGGCAACGACATCAAATACATGGGATATTCTTTGGGGATGGAGTTGACAGGGCTTGTCAAGGGATTGAATACTGGGAGAAGAGAGGATTCAAGAACAGTTCTAACAGTGCTGGTTTTAGCATTAGGGAAAAGGGGGCACCCACTGCGATGCAACAGACTAGAGAAAAGATCAGGTTTGAGAAAGATTATCAAGGTTTCTGTTTTCACCAAGTGGTCTTTAAGATACTCATTAGACACTGGAGAGGTGATGGAGTTGTTAGCTGATTATGAGTTTGGGGTTTCAGGGAGAGGCCAAGACTGAGAATAGAGAATCAAATCAGAGTTTGTTTGTTTTAAGCAACTGAGACCAGGCGAGATTACTAAGAAAGTATATGGATGGAGCAAGAAGTGGACCTAGGGCAGAGTATGGACCCATACCAAGATTTAAAAGTGGAGTAAAACAGGAGCCATTAAGGTAGCTAGAAAACTCTAGTCCAACTCTTCAATGTCATATATGTGGGTGGATTGAGAGTAGTGCAAATTATTAGCTCACTGCCAAAGGGTGGCAGATGTTCCTTCTTTCAACTTAAGGTTAAGTGTGGGAGAAAAAAGATATGGATATCTTTAAAAAATACAGGGCAGATCTTGACATGCCACAAAAAAAGCATTATTAATACACTATACAATCTTTCAAAAGGGAGTTGGCTCATTATCATAGTTATCTAAATTAAATATTTAGTGGGAACAGTATGAAGGGACATGGCATCCAACGGCAACAATTTTAATCTAAGGCCTGATGAAAAATACTGACCATTATTACATCTACAATTTGAATTCAAAATGATTCAAATGGAATTAAGTGATTATGGAAAATTACAAAGGAAAAAACCTGGGTTCTAATCCACATCTGACAACTGTTGGCTATGCAACCTTGGACCCTTTCATTTCTTATTTTCTGTGAGACCCAGTTTTCTATTTCATGAGATGTCTACAATAGACAGGCCCTTCCTCCCTGCTTCACAGGGTCACTGTGAAGATCAAAAGTTGAAGAATATCTCCTAACTGCAAAATCCCATGAAAATAATTTTCTTCAGCTGCCTGGCTAGTCTAACTTCCTACCAATGATGTGCTTCATCATCCTGATGCCAACGATCAATTTTCAGGTATTCAATCCTTAACAGAGAAAGCCACCTAAACTAAATTTTGAAAATTTATTAAGGACAAAACACTGAAAAACTAGAGGTAACCCATTAAAACCTCTACCCAATTCCTGTGAGGTTTCAGAATGGTACCTCACCAATTTAAATTCAAGGTATATGAAATGGCCATACCTCTGGGTACTAATCTGACATTGTCAAGGTGGTATGGGGTCTAACAATGTCCTTGTAAACCACTTACCAGAATACTGAGAAAATATACATCAGAATATTTCTTCAAATGCTACATTAGTATGGCTGCCTGTGCTTCATTATATGATTAAAACAATAAGTTTTTTTTTTAATAATTTCCAAAGTTCTTTCTTATTTTTTATTCCATCTGATCATACAGTAGTCCTGCCTGGTAGGCAAGGCAGATTCATGTTTGTCTTAGTAGGAGAAAACTTATTTATGTTCAAAATCATTTCGAGGCATACCTTAAATTATATTTCAGGTGCCCAACTCCTATTCTGGTGTCAATACTACATCATGTTACATAACTTTTAGATTTTAAATTACTCCACAGTACCAATGATTCTACTTCTAAATAAGTAACACATTCAAGTTTGAAAATATTCCAAATTAAAACTGTATATATTAGCCCCATTCTAAGTCTTATAAGAATCCTTTACCAATCAAATTAAACCTCCCCCTTCACAAAAGTAGATGTAGAAACAGTAATCACTGTGCAGAAACTTAATTGTACTAAATGAATCTGTTCTGTAGTATCTGAGAATATGCACATGTTAACAAAGCATCTTGAGCCCACTTACCCAGTTTTGACACAGACATCATTCTTATAAGTGTGATCAAACCACTCTGGATTTTAAGAACTAATAATACTTTATCAACTATTAATATTATTAATGGCTCAGGAACTAATTACAGCAATTTAAAATGATTAATATTTTAAAAACACAGGTTTTGAAGGGTCACCTTAGAAATGTCAGTAAATGCCTAAGCTTTCAAAATACAGATGAAATTACGGTTAAATGTAACTTAAAAAGGAGTACCTTATAAATAAGACCAACATTTAGTCTATGTGGTTTAAGAAAAGTACTGAATTTGGAATCAGATGAATTCTGGCCTCAAATCATTTAACCTCTCGGAGCCTCAGTTAACATTAAAAAAAAAAACAAATTCATTAATAGGAAATTTTGCTATCTGTCTATAATAAAGCTCTGGAAAAATCACAAATAGTATGAGAAAATTAATGACGAGAGTCAAAAGATCAAGACTTCTGAACCAAACCAATATTAGATCAAAACATTTATTTTGTGTGTTACAAAAACAAAAATAAATCCAAGGAGGTAATGAAATAAACATTTTTTAAGTGTCCCATCCTGGGTTCTCTGCTCTAGAATTTAGTAAACAGTTCAAGTTTAGGTTGCTTCAGCACTTCTGGATGCTATGATGTCTCCATCTTATAACCATGTTTCTCTAGTTCAGCTCTATAAAGAAACACAAAAGAACAACATCACTAGACATTCTTCATGATAAATTAAAGAAACAGATGATTTTTAGAAATAACACAATAAATAATTGAGCTAATAAGCCTAAACATCAATTTAAAATACTACCAAATAGCTTTACTTTAGTCCCCAAAAAGAAATCTATATAAGAAGGAAACTGGATGTGAATCCACATAATGCTAATAAAATTTTGTTTTCCCATTAGTAAACTTATGTTTTATATTCCTTATTTTTCTGATCTATTTATGGAAGAAATGTGAGGGAATTATTGATATTTTCCAAATACTGTACAATTATTCTGTTCATAATATTTAAACATAAATTTTAAGAATCATTAACCATATGGCTAAGAACACTAGACACTGCTATCAAACTTTTAGAGATTTTATAATTACAATACTGTTATTTACACATAAACAATAAACAGATTGCTTTTCATACTGACATATATACTGCCCTAAACAAATCAAAAATTATTAATCAAATGTAAGGGTATGTGAAAATTATTCTGTATTAAATATATATAGGTTAAATATAATAAGTTATAAAATATTAAACAAGACTTTACTTTCCTAACTTTAAATGTGGATAAAAATCTCAAAAATGTATATTGGTATAAACATAAACACTTTAAAAAGATACTTTTTATAATTTATTTTTTCAACCTGAAATTGCAGTCATACTTTGAAAATGTCAACTGCAATTGTTGATCTGCCTTGTATAAACATTTGCACAAAAAGGTTTAGCCCTGTAATCAATATCACTTATTTAAACTACCATTCCAAATATCACCAGCAACTTTTCTGCCACAATTCTGATTTTATAAAATCAGAATTTTATAAAAAGTTCACAATAAAATTATGTGAGGACCAACCTATGATAAAATTGTACAAATGTTAAGCATGATTACATAATTACATGTAAGATAAAAAGACATTTGTTCTCAAGCATAATTTCGCTTAGACACTATCACACTATCCAATGTAAATGTGATGCAAAAAATACATGGTAGGAACGATGTATAATATTTATTATTCACTTCCCCAAACTCCTTCACTTCCTTAAAATCTTTAGATATTTATAATACAAATACTGACCTAAAGTCCATGAATAATATTAAGGCCAGAGCTTATTCATATGAATCATCTTTGTCTTCTGCTCAGGTGTAGAGGACAGTATGGGCTGGTGGTAAAACACTGGATTAGGAGTCAAGAGATCAGCACAAGTTTCTGACTCTACCGCCTCCTTTGCTAAATTTAACTAAAATGCTTCCTTTGTCCTCTCCTCCCCAGGAAATTAAAGATTATAATACTTGTCTTTCATGTTTCCTATTTAAAATGGAGATAATTTTAAACTTTCTTAAACAATACTTCTGCTGCGTTTAACAAAATCATTGTAGATTATTCATTTTCTCTTATTTTACAACAAAAAAACCCTAAAATTCAACCTAAGATTTAGGTAATAAGTCACCAAATCCATCCGAGTTTGTGTCTCTGTTTGTCTTCATGACAGGAGGTGGTGACCAATTACATTTATAAATTGTTTACAAACACAAAGGAGAGTATGAGATATTTCTCAATTAGCTAAATTCTTAGAAAAGATGAAAGTTCTTTGGTAGAATTCAGGACTTGTAAGAAACCAAAAGGAAAATAAATGAACACCACTAAGTACAAAACAACACAAAAACACTAATATCATGAGCCTGTTGAATGGAAAAATCCAACAGAGATGAAAAAGTAAAGAAATCCAGCACAATTGGAAAGATATCATAGGGCACACATAGTGAATACACACTATTTGAAACAAAAACAGCAGCATTCCTTTTACAACAAAACAAGAATAAGACTAACAGCCACTAGTAGGTTTCAGAACTCTTATTACCCAAGGACCTACTCTGCTATGTGACATTGGCTATATCTGACATGGTAAATCAGGAATTATTGGCTTTTTGGAATTTTTATGTAAAATGTGATAAAGGTCCAAAAAATCTCATAATCCTACCTATTTCTACTGATACGTATATAAACAAATGTTTCAAAAGCAGTAAAAACAGAATGATCTTTAGTTACATGGAAACATTGCTGGCCTTCTTTGTACTTCTACTTGTTGAAGGTAAATTACACTGAAAGAGAAACATGGAAAGTTTAAGGCTAAGTCCTTGCCAAGGCCATGCAGCTAAATAAGACGCAGATACGGGCTGGAACTCAGGGAATCTGACTGACTCTAGAGTGTAAACTGCCTCTCTAAATTTAGATGGAATTAGGACTCAATCATATGAGAAAACAATAAAACATTTTTGGGGAATTCCCTGGCAGTCCAGTGATTAGGACTCAGCACTTTCACTGCCCGGGCCCGGGTTCAATCCCTGGTAGGGGAACTAAGATTCGAAAGATGAGCGCAGCGCGGCCAAAAAAACGAAACAAAACATGTTCTTTACCATGGTTTATAATACCACATTAAGGGCCTCGATGCATTTTACAAAGACTGAAAAGAACATCTTTGCAGGAGACTTGTTAATCAAGACAGTTTTAAAAGCAAGAATATAAATGTTATCTGAGGCTGCCTTGTCCAATATGGTAATCAGATGTGGCTATTTATTAAAATTAAATAAAATTAAAAATTAAGTTTAGCAGCTGTGCTGGCCACATTTCATGTGCTTAATAGCCACATGTGGCTAGTGGCTTCTGTACTGGATAGTGCAGCTTATAGAACATTTCCATAACTACAGTAAGTTCTACTTGACAGCACTAATGATACATCAAAAACTTTGTTTAAAAAAGAAAAACTCACAACACAAATAGGGAAATAAAAAGAAAAATCTCATTCACTAATGGAGGTATCAAGATTTATACACTTACAAAAATCCACAAACCTAAAGGCAGAAACACAACATAGAACATAAGAGCACTGTGGAGGTATATTATAAAACCAACAAGCCACAAAGAATACAAGGATAATGTTCTATTTCCAAAACCAATAAAAAGGCAAGACGCAGTAGTGACAAGAAATCCAATTATCAGTACATTTACTACTAAAAGTCCCCTAATAAAACCAAAGTATTCAGTAATGTCTTGATTTAATTGTTAAGAGAAAAGTGCTATTTTCTGACTAATGAAAAACACCCTCAACCCCAAAACCCACTTGGGAGGAATCTGACTCTTCTGAATAGCGAAGGAAAAAAACTCATTTGGCTTCAACTTTAAAAATTTCAAGAAGATAACAAAAAGAAAAAACTGATACATGATTAAAATCAAAACACAAAATAGGGATCAACAGAGTTGTAAGGCCTGAAAATAAGTATTCTAATAGCATATGTTTATAATGAGAAAGAAAAGAAGGGATGCATTAAAAAAAAAAGGGCAGCAAGGTTTTCTCTGATGTGGCAAAATAAATAAACCTAAAATAAATACAAAAAGAAAGTGGCAAAAACTTGTACACATAGAATTAATTTAATCCCAGAATGGAATGAGATCTGTAAAAAGAACAAAAAGGGCTTCTGAAAGCCATATATGGCTAAAGAAGAATGAGAAGAGAGAGATTCAATGCTCAGAATAGATTTTAGAGAAAAAGCAAGATTACTGTTCAACAGCTACTGCTCTATCTTGTCCATAAAACTGCAAAAAGAAAAACAACATCATTAAGACAAAATTGAAAATTAAAACAGATGAGATAATTCCAAACTACATTAAAGTAGTTTAAAGTTTCAAGGCCTGAATAATTACATCTCAGAGTACTGAAAGAAGGAATAAATGAGAGTCAGCAATTTTGAGAAATCATGGAGAATTGTAAAAGAGCCAGAATAACCGTGAAAGGCAAACTGTACTATGTCCAAAAAGGGGAGAAATGAGATGGGTAAAACTGTTATTAGTTTCCAGCAAAATACTAAAAAGTCTTTAGAATGTAGGGTTTTTGAGCCCATAAAAAAATGCAGTTTAGAACAAAAGCTACTGTACCACTACTAAAAATAAATTTTAAAAATTTAGTATAAATTATCTCACTACTTTTCAGAAAAATGTACTAGAGACTAGGAAATTAAAAGATTGGAATAGAACTTCTATATCATGGTTTGAGCAAAGCAAATGATAGTTTACACAGACATCTTTGTGGCCAAGATAGATAATGTATGGGTTGAATCAAAACAAAATTAGGGAGGAAAGAATTGTCTACAAATGGTGCTGGTATAACTGGATATCCACATGGAAAAGAATGAAGTTGGACTCCTATTTCACACCATATACAAAAATGCATGCAAAATAGATCAAAGACCTAAATGTAATAGCTAAAATTCTGGAACTGTTACAAGAAAACATAGGGATAAATTTTCATTACCATGAATTTAGCAATGAGTTCTTAAAAGAGTAGATAAATTGGACTTTTGTGCAAAGAACACTATGAAGAAAGTGAAAAGACAACCTAACAGAATGGGACAAAATATCTGTAGATAATATGTCCCATAAGGGCCAGAATAAATAAGAACTCTTACAACTCAACAACAAAAAGACAAACTTTGAAAATGGGCAAAGGACTTGAACAGATAGTTCTCCAAAAAAGATATACAAATGGACAACAAACACATGAAAAGAAGCTCATCAGTATCATTAAAGAAATGCAAATCAAAACCACAATGAGATACCAATTCATCCACTAGGATGGTTAAAATGAAAAAAAAAAAGGTTTTGACGAGGATGTGGAGAGGTTAGAAACTTCCTATATTGCTGGTAGTAATGTAAAATTATTCAGCTGCTGTGGAAAAGTTTGACAATTCCTCAAAAAGTTAAACAGAATTGCAATATGATCTAGCAATTCCACTAAATCCCAACAAAACTGAAGAGATATTCAAACAAAAACGTGTAAATGAATGTTCACTGTAACACTGTTCACAACAGCCAAAAGTTGGAAACAACCCAAATGTCCATCATCCGATGAATGGATAAACAAACTGTGGCCTATGTATACAAGGAAACAGTATTTAGCCATAAAAAGGAATGAAATACGGATACATGTTACAACATGGATGAAATTTAAAAACACTATACTGAGTGAAAGAAACTAGACATACAGATCATTCATGTGATACCATTTATATGAAATATCCAGAACAGGAAAATCCACAGACAGAAAGCAGATCAGCGGTTGCCAGGGGCTGGAGGAGGAGAGGAATGCAGAGTGACTGCTTAATAGATATGGTGTTTCCTTTAGGGTGCTGAAAATGTTTTGGAATTAAATACAGATGATAGTTGTATGACATTATGAATATACAAAATGCCACTAAATTGTACACTTTAAAATGATTTTTACACTATATAAATTTTACTTCAATCGATTGATAATCAATCAACCAATCATTTTAGGTAGATTTGTACATGAATATGGAAAAATACACTCCCAACACCTCACTCTCCATTCCAGTTTGAGAATCACCAATACATTGGGTCTGAGCACCCTATGATTCTAATTTCTGCTGAGTTGTTCAATATTGATAGAAAATTAACAGTGACAGAATTAAACCTACAAGGATTTAAAAAAATAGCAAATATGCTTCCAGTTAACTACTTTTATAAAGAGACTAGAAAGAACAAAAGTTCTATGCAATTACACAAAGTATTCATGTTTAGAAACACAGGAGATGAGGCAATATATCTTACTTTTCATAATTCGAAAATCTATTTCAAAGGCAATTGTCATATATAAGTTACATATTCCATGCTTACAATTAATACTAAGCTATATAAAAATTTGGCTTAAAACTTACCGTAACTGATTGGAGAAGTCATCCTCTACATTGTCATCATCCCAATTATCCTCCCAGACATGTGCATCTTCATCTTCATCTAAACCAGCCCAGTCTAAAAACAGAAACAGATGCCATCTAAATATTTCTCATACATTATTTCCATAAATACAAAAACTTCAGAAAGCTTGCTACTGAACTCTCTCAATTCAAAACATCTAAAACCATATCTATGAGAAATGGTAATCTTCCTCTTTAAATCTCAATTGATGCTATCTTGTTTTCTCAATTCTTGAATTTGCAGATCTAAAACAGTAGTTAATACAAAAAATTCTATTTGCTGTGAAAATTTATTGTAACTTCAGGAGGATATTTACTTTGCTGATAATTTTTATAAGGTCTATTACACAATCTTTCAAAACACAGCACCAATAAGAGAAAAGTAAGTTGAGTAGCAGGACGATACCGGCCTGGAATTCAAAACTGCTAAACATAAAAAAAGATAACTCATACTCAGATAACAAAAAGTAAACCAAATATTTTCTTAAACATGGTTGTAAAACTGTGTTAGAGAATGTCCTTATTCTTTAAGACACACATGCTGAAATATTTAAGAATCATGTGTCATTTTGTTGACAAGTTTACTTGTAAATGCTTCTGAAATATATTTTATATCATACATGTCTATCATACATATGATAGAAATAAAGTAAATATGACAAAATGTTAACAACTGATGAAACATGGGTGTTTGTTGCCTTCTTGTTTTTTGAGGTATAACTGACATATAACATTATATTAGTTCCAAGTATACAACATAATTTGATACTTGTATACACTGAGAAATGATCTCCACAATGAGTCTAGTTAATATCCGTCACCAACAGTTACAAATTTTTTTTTTTGGATCAGGACTTTTAAGATCTACTCTCTTAGCCACTTTCAAACATGCAATAGAGTATTAATAACTATAGTCATCATGCTATACGTTACATTTCCATGACTTATTTTTGTAACTGCAAGTCTGTATCTTTTGATCCCTTCACCCATTACACTCCCATTTGTCCTTTATTTAAAACTTCTATAGGGTTAAGTTTCAAAATTAAAATCTGAGAAAACTAGTTTTTAAAAAACCAGTATGGAAATCACCTTTGGAAGCTTTCCTGATTCCTTCTCCCTTTCCTTCAGAGATTAGGTCCCCTCCTTTGTGTATATCTATCACAGCACCTACATACTGTACAATCATATTTATCAGTTTATATGCCTATGTCCATTACTAGTATCTGAGCTCCTTAAGAATAAAACTCTTTTATTTACCTTTGTATTCTTAAGCCACAACAATACCTGTTGTGCATATGCACGACAGTTGGTTGTGAAAGATGCAACGAACTCTAAATCAGACCTTGTGTACTTTTGCTTGATCCCTCCCCTCCAAAAACAGTAAGCATGAGTTACACATGCTCTTAAATGTGTCCTAGTAGCTTCATCTTAGTAATTACTTATTAGAAACATGGCTAAGAACATTTCGATCTTTTAAAAAAAAGAAGTCAATAAGAAAAGGTATGATTTAGGCTTTTCTTATAAAGCACATATAGATTTAAAGGTATTCAACAATGGTTCATATGGGTATTATATTTATTACATATGTATCTAACAAAAAATTTTAAATGCCATATGTCAACATCATGATTTAAGAATATAAGAAAGTACCTCCATTTACCTGGTCCCCCCAAACCAGAAATTTGGGAGGCAGCTTAGCTATCCTTTCTCCTTCAACTCTCATAACCATTCATTATATCCTTTTGATTTCAGCTCAAGAATCTACAGTTATAGTCTCCTCCTCCCTATTCTTGCTGCCACTATGTTAATTTAGGAGGGATTATTCCCTTCATGGACTATTATTGTGGTCTTTTTTCTGTCCCCTCCTCTCTAATCTTACAGTCTGTACCCTCTTCCACTGATGCCCAAAATGACCACCATTCCTGTAAGTAACTATGCAAAACATTCAGGTAGGAAGCACATTTTATTAAATTTGCAACTCTAATGTCTATAGCTGAGTACTGGGCACATAGTAGACACTCAAAAAAATGTTGTGTAAATGGAACTACGTTTCTCAAGTTCCCTTCCTCTGAGTGGTCAATCTCAAGAAAACAGAGGGCAGTGTGTGGTTTCAGTGAAGTCAAGAGTATATATTTCAAGATGGAAGAGAATAACAATATCTTGTATTATGAATGAGTCGTGTAGAATTCTCAACTGTATTTACTCTAAGAATACTTTTGAGGCTTGCGATCATCTGTTTGAATGCTCCCTGAAGAGAGATCATGTGGGAAATTTCTTTAAGATATTAGTGCCTGAAAAGATGAAAGTTTGTCTTAGGCAATTTATTTCAGGTTGCTAGGAAGCTCAGTCAAATGTATACTCAACTTTAATCATTGGTATAGGGTAGTGAATGTATATTCATTTATAAAAACTTTCAATAATCAAAAATACTGATTTTTATTGGCCTAAATGTTCTTATATCTCCCAGTAATATTATTATTCTCAAAAAGGAAATATTGTAATGATCTAAATTCAAATCCTATACTATTCTCTGAGGTCCTCAACAGTAGTAATACTTAACAATACTAAGTATTAATTACATCTCAAAATTAAGCTGACTGGGCTACAGATATCCTTACATGTTCTCCTTTCTTATAGAAGTACCTTTCAAACTGAAAACTTTTATTCTATTTATGAATCCACCTATAGTTTTTAATGAGAGTAGATTAAGAAGTTAAAATAAAGGAAATCACATTTAGGATTTCCTATAGTCTACGGAAGAATGATGAGAAAGCTAATGCAACCAAATTTTTAAAAATAGTATATCTGGGGACTTCGCTGGTGGTCCAGTAAGTAAGACTCCACATTCCCAATGCAGGGGGCACGGGTTCAAACCCTGGTCGGGGAACTAAGGTCCCGCATGCCAGCCGGTGTGGCCAAAAAAAAAAAAAAGAAATTAAAAAAAAGAAATAAAGATAGTATATCTACTTCCAAAGCTAAAGATAAAAAACAACATTTCTGAACTTTTATAAACGAGCAAAGTGACTTAGTTAAGTCAAGAGTTAATCATTAGGTATAGGGCTAAAACAATACTGTTATTCTCATATTGCCATTGCAATCAATAATAAACTGTTTAATACGTACATTGTTGTATACAAATTTTCTTTTTGTTTTTCTAAGAGCAGAGAAATCTCAGAAAGAAGGGAACTACTTTAAGGCAAAAATAAAGGGGGCAGAAACTGAAGCATTAAGTATACAAGAGAGGAACATTATGTAAAGATGGTACAGGTTGCAGGCTAAGATCAGATTTTAAATTAAAAAGGGGCTCAAAAAGTAGATATATTTCCCTAATACTAAATCATCAAGAATCAACTACATGATTTTAATTCTTTAAATTAAAATTAAATAAAACACTTCAAATCATAGAAATTCAGATTCTTGTACCTTGAACTTATTATAATGGAAAAATGCAATCCATTATTCCTTTTATAGCAAGTGAATCATGCTATTCCTCCCCATTCCCTCCAGTCTTCCTATAACCTACAGTTCTGAGCTATCTAATAATATTAATGGACAGCTTAGGAGTTTTTGTTTCTTGATTTGTTTTAATGACACTAAACATTCCAGTATAAAAAATTCACATAAAACTATTTCATTAAAACAATGCAGCAAAGTTTGGCTTTATACTTCAAGTCTTTATAAAATGGCTAAGACTGAAGATTATTTAAAATTACAGAATTTTGGAAACAGAGAAAGCCTTAGAGATCACTGTATAGCATACCCCTCTTTGCTTTGAAACCACCACCATTACCACTACCAAAAAAACAGAAAGTGAAGACTGTCTTACAAGAAAATATTTATTAACTTTTTTCTACCGTTATTTCACAACCTCAAATCCTAAACTTTAAATATACTTGGGTTGAGCCTAGAAATAAGAATTGTCAAACGAAATATTTGTTTCACTGATATTTTAAGGAATCTTTATAAAGATATCTAACAGAGCTTAATGTTCCACAAAATAATTTGAATACGTTACAACTGTATAATATGCTCTTGAGTAAACAAGGTGACATAACTCAAGTCACAATTGAACTTTAAAGTTCTAAGACACCAAGCCTCATATCAGCCTGAACCACTTCTAACTAACCAGTTTCCTAAATTTTTAAGGAAACAAAATGTCAAAAGATTCAAGTTAGAAATATAAAAAACAAGAATATTTATTTCACATTTCTCTGCTAATCTTGTAAGCCTACCCTTTCCAGAAAAATAAAAATACAGGGCCCACAGGACTTTTAATCTAATTATGGCTTGATTCAAAATGTTGATTTTAGGGAATTTCCTGGTGGTCCAGTGGTTAGGACCCTGTGCTTTCACTGCTGAGGTCCCAGGTTCAAACCCTGGCTGGGGAACTAGGATCCCACAAGCCCCATGGTACGGCAAAAAAAAAAAAAAGTTGACTTCAATATTGTTAATACTTATGTCATTCAAATACCTTCAAGTTGACTTTAATTCTTTTAACTTTAAGAGACTAAAAAAACATACTTGTTAATTTGTACCCTACTGTCTCAGAGAATCTAGAACAAGAAACGTAACAGCTTCAATAACTTATTTTGTAGGAGGTCCAATCCTTAACTCCATAAAGGCTAGGGGAAAAAAAACAATCAAATTCTTTATGTAATATGGGAAATACGAGTTTGAACACGGTCTTTTTTTGTTTCTGTTTTTTTGTTTTTGGCCTCGCAGCAGCATGTGGGAATTTTAGTTCCCCGACCAGGGATTGAACTGGTGTCCCCTGCAGAGGAAACATGGAGTCTCAACCACTGGACTGCCAGGGAAGTAAGTCCCTGAACAGTATCTTTTTCAAAATTTTAAAACTGGTACAATTTTTAGTTTATCAAGTTGAATTCTGATGATCATTTAGCATAAGCATCAAGTATCTCTCCCTCTGGTAACAACCATCTCATGTTACTTTAATGGCAAGGAAAGGAAAGGGAAGAAGGTAGAAATAAAGTCCCAAGAAAAATAAACTGGCTCATGAATGGAGGGAAAACAGTATTATGAGCAAGATTTTAGGTA